TTAATAAAAAAAAAAAAAAAAAAAAAAAAAAAAAACACTGCAATGTAACAATAGCTGTACTCAAGCTGTTTGTACTTCCAAATAGATGACACCAATACCAAATCGTACAATTAACTTGATTAAATTCCAATCAACAAGTTAGAGAAAAGCTGAGAAGAACAAAGGCGCAAATAACCCTAAACTGTTGATCTTTTCAGTGCTTCTTATAAAATCAGCGATTGTTTTATGTAATTTTATTGCAACTTTAGATTAACATCGTCAACAACAGGATTCTTTTTTTGTCATCCATAATTTTGAAGTGTCTAAATCAATAACTAAATATGTTTCCTATAAGTCCTAAATTATTGAAATTGCAATTTATATTAAATCGTCATTTAAAAAAAATCGTTGAGAAAATAATAATGAAGTAATTTTCATTATTTTGTGTAGAAATTAAAGTCCATCCCGTTATATTTAACATGTCTAAAAGAAACAAAAAAATAGAATGAGGCAATATAATCGGAATGAACAGGAAGGTTAACCACCTTAACCTCCCTATACCGTTGAGGCATTTGAGATTATAGGCATACCTTGACGCTTTCATCATTTGAATAGGCTTCGGCTACATCACAGAGCTTTCCAGCAATATATGAAGCAGAGTACTTTCCATCAGCAGTTCCATACTCCCCCAGAACCCAACAGATGACCTGGAATCAGAACTCAAGATATTAAAAAAGGAGTGTTATTTTTTGCAGTTTTTAGATCCAAGATTGGAGAATAACCTGAAGAAATGCAGATGGAAGCTTGGGGTTCCCAATAATGCGCAAATATGACTCCACCTGTGCACGGTAAATAGTTTACTTTGATAAGGAAATAACTTCAGTAAAGGACAGAAGCTTAGGAAAGAATTCATAACATTCAATCCCGAATATGCAATCCTTGTTGTTTCACTTATAGCCAACACATTCCAGATGCAACATGGAGGATAAAAAAAATGAAGATAATACATTATAGAACTTTCATACACAAACTCACACACATTTGTGAGTATCCGAGACAGCATATTCTCAACAATTCTCACAGGACAAGTGTCCTAGAATATAAGGACAAGTGACCATTCTCAACCATACACGCACTTCATCTGACTACATTTGGTTGCCAAGATAACTCCTAAGATATTTATCCCAAGTAGTTCATTACCGTGACTTGAACACTCATTTCCTTTTTCCCTTTTACCTTCACTATTTATGTTGGCCCTTATGGACAATTAGGTCAACTCAAACTGGTAAATACATAGTAGTGCTATTATCACTCTTAAAATAAGTAAAGATAGATTACCGTGGAAAACAGAAACAATATATATAATATAAGTTTGGACTCAGAGAAATGCTTCTCTATACAAAACTAAACAAAAACAACAAACATGATGGAAGAAACAACGTATTGAAACAAAAAGATGTGTTGATTATCAATGAGCAGCAGCAAAGAAACTTTTGGACTCGTAAGGGCTCCCAGGGTAATGCTTGATTATGAGAGATGCTAAACAATCATTGTAAATCAAAAACACAAGTAGTCGGTGTTTATTTACAAGTGTGAAGGGAGGGACAACAGCTCTCCAAAACTTAAAAAACTTTTCAAGAGGCACACAATATAATTTTTTTAAAAAAGAATAGGTATTATGAAGCATTTGGTTACCACATGATACACAAAGGTGTATACATGATAGTATAACATCGTGCCTTTACATTTTAGCAAAGAAAATATCAGAGAGAGATAATTAAGTTACATACCGCAGATGATCTCAACTGGTTATCTACTGTATCACCATCGTCTCCAAATCCTTCAGCAATCAACCGCATCAAATCATGTGCAACTTTAATATTCACCAAATCTCCAGCGTGCTCAAAAACTTTATTAATGGTCTGAAGAGGATTAAGGGATTTTGCTAAAACTGGGACAATAATAATAATAATCATGAAATAAAAGAAAACAAGATTGAGATAGGGTCCAAATACCTGAATGAACCAATGGTTATTAGGTGCAAATTCCTCTGCAAGTTTAACACATCTTGATGCTATATATGTCTTATAATGATGGTCGGTAATGCTTATCATATATTCAATCATGCGATTGACAATCACTTCGACATTGGTGGACTTGGTCATTGTATACAATAGTTCAAATGTTTTTCTCTTTAAAGTATCATCTGGATCCTGAGGAACAAACACCAATCGGAACAAATATAATTCACAGTAGCACGCATATAAATCAAGCTGTAGACAACATATTGTAACTGAAATGGGATAAATTACAAATTATTCTGAATTAAACTCGAGAAAGCCACTGCCGCATAAATAAGTAGACTATTAGTTGCTTGATGAGACAGTAATGCTTGTTCTCCCAATTTTAAATTTAAGATTGAAAATAAAAATTTGGAGTAGAGCTTAATCCATTTTTACACAAACAAAAAAGAACAAACAACTATACATGTAAGGGCCTATCTGCATAAATGTAAACCACATTGACAAATAAAGAAGAATATCACTCACCTCCATACAATCAATCACAGCTAACTGATGTTGTTCGGCAATATCCGGACTTAGCTTTATAAGTCGACCAAGTGCATCAATGCCCATATATTTTAGATTATGGCTATCACTCTGACCACAAAATTGTGTAAAGTAAATATAGGTCAAAGCCACAGTTATTAATACTAATAATAGAGCATACAGTAGACAAGGTAGTATAAACAAACCTTTAAAAATCTAGAGATTACATCAGCAGCAGCTTCCAGCAACTTAGGATTCGGGTAAATAGACGAGACGCAGCATATACTTTGGTAGAGAACAGCATTACCTATATTACTTAAAGGATCACACTTCTTAAATATATCCCCAACAACTGTATACATGTGTTCACTTGCTTGCTTGTCGCCAGCACCCAGTAATGCAAGAATTTTCAATAATTTGATCTGTACAGTTAAATTCACTTCAATTGAAATGGAAAAAAAAGGTCATTGCAGAAGGCAAATTAGCAGCAAAGTGACCTTATCAAGCAGAACGCAAGTGAAACCTATAGGAGACTTTTGTTATTAATGATGCAGAGATTATCAGACCTGTATGAACGGAGCCGGCATCTGATGGTATTCATAACTCTTCGGCAATCTGCGGTCAGCTACTTGTTTAAGAATGCTTACAAAGCTGACAACTAAATCTTTATAGGAATTTACATCCGTAGTAATGAGCTCAAAGAGAGGGCAAAGAGTGGCTCCCATGACTCCAGGATCGTTATCACACAGCCTCTGCAACCAAAAAGAAAAAAAATTAGGAAAGAACTAACAACTCCCGGCACTGAATTGCATAAAAACCAACAACCAAGTATCAAATTTTGAACCCCACCTTTCGGAAATTGGAGAGGAGATGCGATATGGAAGAGGGCGATTTCTGGTGGCAGCGATGAAGAGCCATGATAGCCTTCTTTCTAACGGCCTCCTTTGAGTGTCCCAAAAGCTCGACAACCTGCGGCAACACTGCTGGTATAGTCTCCTCGTTAATAAGCCTACACACGGCATTGAGAGCCGCACAGACGACGAGGTAATTATCGGACTTCAGGTCTTTCTGGATGGTATTAACAATGAGAATGATGAGGTCGTGGTCCTCGTGAAGAAAGAGCGTGACGGCCAAATAACCAGTGCGCTTCAGCAGGAGATTGTCGTCATGAGTCATTTTGACGGCATGGATGTAGCCGAATGAAGGATCATGACCGAGCATCTCAACATACACGAGACGAATAATGTACTCCTTCATCTTGCGCTTCGGAATGTCGGGATCGGTGAGACGACGTTTCAAAGTTTCCATTTCGTGAATGATAATTCGCTCCTCCTCTGCCTTGGATCTGGCCTCGCCGATCGATTTAATCAGATCCAAAAACTCCTTCGACTGTCCAAATCCTCCCTGAGACCCCATAGCAAGCTCTCTGCCGATCGTCTTCAACTGCTCCATCTTCCAACTTTCTAATTCCAATCAACAGCCTTCGCTTCACAGAAATCCACAAAAATTACCATAAAACTTCTAGGGTTTATGATCAGAGAAAGCCACAGAATACTAAGCCTATCAATACTTCTGCAATTAATATTTAGATCAGAAATTCGGCAATTCGGTGCAAATAACCACACAGCAATCGCCGGTAGCCGCCGGAAGTCGGAGATGTAAAGGGAGGTGGTTTTCACAGCTCTGAGAAATACAGATTTCTTCTGCCTAACTCGTCTTCTTCGTACGGTTGCGTGTGTTTTTCGTCAATTCAGATCGAAAATTTTCACATCCTTCTGTGACGAACAAAATTTATTTTTAACAAACATAAAAAAAAATGATTTATAAATTATAAACATTTATTTATTCATTTGTTTAGTTCAGACAAATATCATATTTTTAACTGAGCTGGTGATTTTCACTAGATTCCGGGGATTTTTTTTACCGTGGAGACGGTGAAAAATCGGTAATTTTAATTTTATATTCTTCTTTTTATTTTAAAAAACGAGTATCACGTGCGCGTATTCTCGAGGGATTTTAGTGAATTATATTTTCACATTTTCAGATGTAAAATTTCTCTTTTGCCCCTGCCTTTAAAATAACATCAAATTTTTTTATTTTCTTATTTCAAATTTATGTCATCATTGTCACAGTAATTATCACATTGGATATATTCTAATTAACTTTATAATTATAATTATATTTATAGTCATATAGAACGATGTAATCCATACGTTAAAATTAAGTGACTGACTGTGAATTTTATGTCATAAATTTCAACAGAGATAAGAACCTACTGTGTTAGGTAAAAGACATTGTCATATGTAAGGAGATTAATTCATGCACACATACATGCAAAGGAGTAAACTTATTACAGACTATAACCTAGGAGATATGTCGTGTAGATTAAACTCATGTTTTTTTTTAACACGATGTCCACTATTGTCCCATACGATCCCACTGACTGTGCACATTGCACAGTGGATGATATGAACTTATTAGTTATAATCATCGCATTTGACGATTCGACTTCGAATTAATGTATCACTATATGAAGCAATGGCTATATATAACCGTAAACACTTCCCTAGCGCTGTCCCATCCCATACTCACCACTTTTCTCACATTATTGTAGATAGTGAGTTATTTCTTACCCATAGCTCGTTATTTGTTGATAGATCGTTAAAGTTGTGACATAATGCAACGACCTAAATCCACAGATATTGTTCCAGCTAGCATATATTGTTCTCTTTGGGTTTCCCCTGAAGGCTTTAAAACACCTCTACTACGTGAAGATTTCCACACCCTTATAACTATTTCCACACCCTTATAATTGGTGGTTTGTTCTCCTCCCCAACCAATGTGGGACTATTTCCACACCCTTATAACTGGTGGTTTGTTCTCCTCCCCAACCAATGTGGGACTATTTCCACACCCTTATAACTGGTGGTTTGTTCTCCTCCCCAACCAATGTGGGACTATTTCCACACCCTTATAACTGGTGGTTTGTTCTCCTCCCCAACCAATGTGGGACATCACAATCTACCCCCTTTTGGTGCCTACCGTTCTCGCTGGCACTTTTTCATTCCTCCATTCGATGTGGGATTTGATGCCTAGCGTCCTTACTAGCACATCGCCTCGTGTCTACCCCCCTTCGAGGAACAATGACACTCTTTCCTTCCTCCAGTCGATGTGGGACCACCCCCAAATCCACCCCCTTTGAAGCCCAACGTCCTTACTGACACACCATCTCATGTCTATCCCCCTTCGAGGAACAGCGAGAAGGCTGACATATCGTCCGGTGTCTGGCTTTGATTTCATTTATAACAACCCAGATCCATCGCTATCCGATATTATTCTCTTTGGGCTTCCTCTCAAAGCTTTAAAACGTGTTTACTAGGAGAAGGTTTCCATATCCTTATAAATGGCGGTTTGTTCTCCTCTCCAACCAATGTGGGACATCACACATAACGATGATTAATATGTAGTTCGATAAAAAATTTGTATATATTTATGTTGAGGATTATTAAGAGTGAGGGATTAGAAATGATCTTTATAAGTGGACATAAATATTGGGACCATTATGAGATGGTGATTCCTAACCATTTATGATATAAATAGAAATAACAAAAATAACGAATATAAAGTTACCGTGCCAAATGGTTTTGGCGCCAACCCAGTCGAGCACTGTATAAATAACCCTACCCCTGGCAGCAGCGCCAACCAAATTCCTTATTTCACAAAAGACTTCGAGACGAAGAATCGCGAAGAAGCATAGTAACGTTTCTCCAAATTAAGCTCAGCGGAAAAACCCTAATCGTCAAGATCGCTGCGAGTTACAGAGTTTGATTCTTCTAATTTCAGTTTCACTTCACGTTTCTCTGTTATTTAACATCCATCTCGAGGTTTTGAGGTTTTCTTAATCGATGGCGACTGAATCTGCTTCCGAAGTTTCTGCTATTCCCGTGGGATCATTCATCGGGAGCACGATAAGTTTGATTTCGAAATGTGAGATTCGTTACGAAGGCATTCTCTACCACCTCAACATTCAAGAGTGTACCATCGGCCTGGCGAATGGTATGTAGGAAATCGTGATTTTCTTACCGCTCTTCGCTTCCAGTGCTATAGCTATCTCCATGGCTCTGTTTATTCTGATTGTAATTTGAATTCCGGCGTTTACATGTTTGAATTTATGTAATAAATATTTTCTCTATAATGTTCGGAAATTTGTCTATACCAGTCGCTATTGGCACATGTATGGTCATTACTTGTTAGTAGAATAGTTGGTATTATAGACGGAGATAATATTACTTAGACACAGACGATTCTATTCCGGTCACTGCCAGTAAACGCCGATGCTTATTATTGTTTTTTAATTTTTTACTCTAAAACTTCATTACTTCTTGGTTTTCCATATATATATATATTTGGTGTAGTCATTGACAAGTATGATCAGTTTTATGTACTTCATTTCGGGTTTTGTTAGCAACGCCTGCTTCCCATTGAATAAGGATTTATTTTGGCAAATTTCTTAAGATTAGTAGTTATGGTCAACCACTATATATGTTAGAACGATATTCAATACTTAAATATTAAGAGTCGCATCATTTGTTGTTACAGTTAGATCTTATGGGACAGAAGGACGAAAGATCGATGGTCCACAGATCCTTCCGAGTGATGAGGTGTATGAGTATATTCTGTTTCGAGGCAGTGACATCAAGGTAACACAGATGCGTTTAATTACATTTCCATCTCATCGCTCCCCCAATAGACCAATGCACTATGATTGTATTTGGTTTAGAGCTTTAAAATTTAAAATATAACGTTGCCTTGTTTTAGTATAGATCACTTTTCTCCTCCTCGCCACATTTAAATTTTCAGAAAGGTGTGTATAGAACAGAGACAAGAAACATGGAATAAGATGCATATCTTCAAAGATTGACCTTTGAAAGCAATAGAATTTATGACATCTTTCTCTTCTAACTTTAGTAAATAAGTCCTGATACAACATTAAAAAAGGTTCCTGCATCCCCCAAGTTTCTCCTCCTACCTTTTTGAGTTTGTATCTTAAGGTAGAGCTCTAGGAACCACTCAGGGGTGCCAAACTGTTCTTAGGTCGTGAAATCACGCTCCCGTTTATTTCTCACTTAGAACTTTCAATGTCAGCTAGGATAATGATTTTTCTGTTGTAAAAAAAAATCAAAACTAACCCTGCATGCTGTAAGGGGTATGTGCACATTTGCTATACATTTTCTTAACTAAAACTACTCGATATAGTTTGGGTCCATTTTAGAAAGGGTTTTTTTTATTTTTTATTTTGTTATAACAGGATTTGCAACTCAAGTCCCCCTCATTTTCTGAGACGGACAAGCAGATTCATGATGGCTCTGTGATCCAGGTACTCTTGTTTGACTATTATTATAGAAAGATATTAGCACAATTTTACATGAAAAAGAAAATCTCATGTACCTTTCCCTATGCAGTCGAAGCATGCTGGGGTCTCAAACTCACCACTGTATCCTTCAGTTGGATGTGAAACATTGACGGTCTCAAATCAGTGCCAGGATTCTCTGGCTTTTAACAATGGACAGTGTCCAAGCAAGGTGTCTTCACATCAATCTGTTGCTGCAGGTAACATTATACATAGTTATTCGTTGCCCATACAAAACTGTCATTTTCTGTACCAAGCAGCAGTTAGAGAAGAAAAAGGAAAACAATGGGGAATCCCTTTGTACCAGTTTCTGAAGTACATTGCCATTTCAATTGGCAACAGAGAACCAATGGAATCTTCAAAATCATTTAAATATTGGCTTATGATTTACTGAAAACTTAGAATTGTGCAGGTGCTGATCCTGTATCATTTCTACTTTTTGCACGTCCTAGTTTTTATCAGCTAATAGATAGTTCACAACCATGTTTTGTTTTGTTCACCATCTCATTCAACAGTGATGACATCTACTTCTTCCTTTCCTTCAGTCTGGCAAGAAATTGGAAATAACAAAGCTCAGATTACGGGTAAACCTATATTCCACCCAACATCAATTCTTTCCAGGCAGTCTGTTCTGAATACTGCACCTTCTATTTCGGGTTCCGGTCCATTGCTTACATTGCCTGCACCTTCATTAACTCCTTATCAATTATCACAGTCTGGGGCAGAAGTACTTTCCTCCACAAAGAAACTGTGTGTTGATGCAAGGAACTTGGGTGCTTCTACACATATTTCTTCTAATTCTTCAATATCAATTGCTGCGGTTGAACATCAAGCACCCTCGTTTCCATCTCTGAGAGAGATGCCTGCTCAACAGGTTTTTACCTTTATAAAGTTTTCTAAATTATTTTTTCATATAATTACTTCCTTGTAGTTCACATCATTTGGTCTATTTATTTTGTATAACTTGTTGATTTATGCTGAACAGTAAGTGGTTTTGAGCTCAATATTGAATAGTGTTTTCTTCTTCTCGAATAATTAGTATTCAGTAGTTGGTGATATTCTTGGTAATAACCTGAAAGTTACAATGTGGTTCCATGGATCTCACTGAAAATGTCTCATGTTTCTTATGGCTTTTTTTATGACTTTAAAATCAGCCCTCTTCTAGCCAAAATCTTGCCTCTAGACCTATCGTTATCAAAAAAATTAGTTATGGAGACAACCTTTAATCCAACGTCTACATCAAAACCTTTCAACTCCATAATCAAGTCTAGGAAATGCCACTCAACTTTAACATAAGCTTTTTCAAGGTCTAACTTTAGAATAAAGCCTCTTGTCCAAGGTCTCCGATTCAACTACGATAGCATTCAAAATCTGTCACCACATCCAC